GAAGATATGATTTTTATACGGCTCTAATCTCAAAGCATCAATTTATCATCACACCACAAAGTAAACTCCGCGCTACGTTTGCCTGCCTGTCAATTTTTACGAGTTAATTTTGAAAATTGTGCAGATATTTTAATAAGGTTTTCACTATTAGATAGATTGATTTACGGAGACTAGTTATATCAGGGGTGGCCGACTTGACTAGACTCAAGAACTACTGTTTACTGACGAAACCCTGTTCGATCTACCAGTTACATACTTCTTGAAATCTCAACTGAAACAACATAGTTCAGTGCACAATTATGTAGTATTGTAGTATTTTTTTATTTTATTAAGAGGGAAAACATAAAACTGAAAATTATTCTCTAGTGCTTAACTACTTATTTATATTAGTGTGAGCATTGCGTTTGAACATCTTCCGCTATGTTAGTAAAATATTATATTTATTTTGCCACGATTACCGTTAGATCGATCGATCATCCCTGATTTATATATAAAAATTTTTATATATGTAGTTTTTTTTTGATGGGTGAAAATGGTATAGTAACTCCGCCTGCGCTAACGGGATACGCTGGCGGAACACCAGTGAAGGGTGATAGATGAGAATGAAAACAGGCCAGTTAGCCCATCATGATGAATTCATCAGGAATTAACCATGATAGTTTTCAGGAAGAACCGCGAGGAGGTCGACCTGGTTGGGTATATATCTAGTAATAATGTTAGCAGACCTATGATTATTCTCTGAAGGCTTTCAGTGCCTATTAGATAAATACATCCAATACTAAATTATATTTTCAAGCTAATATATTTCCTTGTAAAATAATAAATGAATAAATAGTATTTGAAAGTAAAGAAAAATATAGTTATTACAGTGTTTCATATCTAAATCTCGACCAAATAAGATTTAGGATGATAAATAATAGATTCCCCTATATTATAGTTAAACTAGGTATATATTCCATGTAAGTACCTATTTACATAAAGTATTGTAGTAAAATTGATAAGGATAACATGGCGTGGATATCCAATAAACCCCTTCCAGTGTGAGTACTCACTGATTGAATTGGTCAGAGAATTATATATATGAATAATATAGGAATCGATATATGATTTTTTTTATACAACTTAGAATGGCAAACAAGCTGACGGCCCACCTGATGGAAAGTGGTAACCGTCACCTATAGACATGAGCAGTACCATGGACATAACAGAGTATACTGTTTTGCCCATGATACCCCCCATGCGTTGCCAGTCCTGAGGACTCAGGTGTTATTCCTCCGTACCCAGTAAATTCACACCATATCTCACCCTTCAAACCGAAACACAGCTATGCAAACACAACTGCTTCACGGTTGAAACACGAATGGGACAGAGGTACCCAAGCAATCGACTTTTGTACAAAGTCTCCCTCTAGTAAGTAAGTATCTCTATTTCAAGATATTGTGCATATATAAAGAGCATTTTTTTTAGGACTTTATTTAGAGAAAGAAATGTAATTGGGTCATAATTCCTATTATTTAAACTGACACATTTAAGATTTGATTTTCACTTAATTTTCTCACTTATAGAAAGCTATATTATTACGAACGGACATGAACTCTATTGTCAAAAACTGTGCAAAGTCGTGGCGGGTTGCTAGTAATCTTTTTCTTTTTTTAATGTTAGGGAGGCAAATGAGTAGAGTCAACCTGATGGAAAGCGGCTACCGTCTCCCATGAACATTTGAAACACGAGAGGAGCTGCTTGTGCGTTTCCGTTCTTTATCTATAATTACGTAATATTAAACCTCACCTCTCCTGGAACACCACCATGCGATCCGTTTCTAACAAACTTCTTCATCACATCCCGACCGGCTTGATTCGAAATTCTCGCCAGAGGTCCGAGCATAGTGAATTTTAAATAGAAACGTGTTAATAAAATTTCTAAAATAACTCAGGTAGATAAGATAATAATGGTTGCTGTCGATTGCACTGGTCAACAATGACTGATAAGCCTTAACTCAAATCCCATACGCCTTTGCACACCTATATAAGTAGTTCATTTTGAAAAGCCCGTCACAAGCCTTTATTTCAGTAACGTTCAGGTGACTTCATAAATTGTTAGTATAATACGTGGTGTTATATGAATTTGATTGAAATGAGGATTTTCGCGTGTTGGCTATTTCTTTTTATCCTTAATGGACAAATGGAACAGTGAATGGGTCTGTCTATTTATTTGTTTATTTGTTACCATTTGTCGATTTAACGGTTACACAAATTATTGTGGAATTTGGAATGTACCTATACAATACAGTATATATACTATATGGATTTTATTTTTTTATCCCGGTCAAATAAAAAAAGTCGTGATAGCAAGTAGCCCCTCATCATCATCATCATCACCATATCAGCCGTTAATTATTTGCTGCTGAAAATAAGCCTTCCCAGAAGGAGTGTTTTACCAGTAATTGCCACGCTTTGCAGGTGATTTGGCAATCGCAGTTAGGCTTTTAGAGGTGTTTTAAGAGGGACGCTGCTGCCCATCCCTCTATCATTAAGTTCCTTTAGTCGCCTCTAATGACATCCATGGGAAAAGAAGGAGTGGCCCATAATATGTCGGGACCCACACGGCGAACTACAGTGACTACAGCTAAACCTTAATAATGTTACAATTTTAGAAGCTCGTTAGTTTGATTATTTGTTACCTCTTAGCTCTTTAACAATTTAACCTATAACTATGATAGTTTGGAGTAAGGATTCCAGAATCAGAATTTGGATTCTCCGTCTAAGTCTTGGCATAGGAAGGATGGGCAGCAGCGTTCCTCTTAAAACATTACCAAAAGACAAACTGCGGTTGCCAATCCAAGCGTGACAACTACTAGCAAAACTCCCTTTATGTTAGATAGATAGATAGATAATTTATTTGCATTACCTACAGCGCACAAATTACGACATATATAGATACACATAAAAAGCGAGATAATATTAATGATAAAAAAAAAATTACATAAAGCCGAGTACAATATTTCTTTTGTGCGTGTACCGTAACAATACAAAATGGTCACAACTCAGTTTATTGCTTCGCCCTCAAAAGAGCAAAGCACTGATATTCTGTTGCGGCCAAAGGGAATAGGGTAACAATAAAATAATACTAACATATTATCTATACAGTAAGCAGACAGATATGACAGTCTATCTACAATAGCAGACAAATGGGAGAGGCTACGTTCAGCAGTGGTCATCAGCCATTAACCGCTGATAAAACAACTACACGTATGTGATATGGATTAAATGTAGACTAGGTACTCTTTGTCCCCGTCAATGAATATACACCGGTCACGCGAACAAAGTTGCGAGTAAAAGCTACTTTATACTAAGAATTAAAATACCATCACCAATTCAGGTAGTAAATAAAGTACTTAAAAAAACTTGATTTGGAAATTAATTTTTCACTAGCTTTTAACCTGCTATTTCGCACGCGTAAATTTTAGAAATAGAAATAATTAGATAACGTATTAGGTTAAAATATATGCCACATTTTAAGATAGATCTTTAAGAATACAGCTGTGAAATACATATTCAATTTAGTGCAATAGTTTTTACGTGATGCCAGAACAAACGTACAGACTGAGAAAATCTGTTAAAATTATTGTTTTGACTTCCATTGCTCTTATTAAAACCTTTTCATTTTTTTTTTCAATATCTTCCATGTACAGGTGTCGTCTAAATATAGTTTTATTATATTAATAAGAAATGACATACTATGAAAAAACATACAACGAATATTTAACATACGTAATACAAAACTCAAATTGGTATAATAACGTATCCCATGATCGGTTTGTTTGAAAATCGAATCCGGGATCTTTTTAATATACATAAAGCTATGTAGTTATCATTGCATTAAGAAAGTCCAACAATGGATTGGGAAATTTGTACTGGTAAATTTTATTATTAATTTTCTTTAAACAGTTATACACTAAGTTGCTATTATTTATTCAAAACTGACTGCCCATTAAATGGAAAAAATAGACTTCATTATAAATACGGCACATTGTATAAATACACCACACACACATACATATACACACTCATCCATTCCACAGTTTTTTTTAATGAATGATAATGGAATGGCAACCCCGCTTGCGCTAACTGTACACACTGGCAGTGTACCAGTGAAAGGATGATAGGTGAGAATGAAAAGGCAAATCAGTTAGCCCATCGTGATGAATACACCGCGAATTCAGCACGATGATTTCCAGGGGGAACCACGGGTAGATCAAACTGACAGGTTATATTGCTTGTAATGGGACTGGTAATCTGTATTACTAATAATCCCTCCCCCCTTGCATTCCATAACTATAAGACGACAATTATACAAAATTTTTTTACTTGCGATTACATCTGTGTGACCTAAATATTTATATCCAAATGTCTGAGACAAATAATAGTCTGTGTTCTTCTTCATCCCAAATAACACGTGTACATACTAAATTTCATGACAATTAAATTATTAGGGAATCAATAGGTAACTAAAAAAACTTACTTTCATATTTAAAATATTAATAAGGATTAAGTTATTAATTTATGAGTATGATGTAAGGATACAGAAATGACACATTTCACTCTTTTACCGTAACGACTCTGTATTTTCAGTTGTCCAGTATTATTATTACCAGGAAAAAAAATTATATCGTTTGTTTATTAATTGAACGTCGGACATTAAGGAAAATATGCCATAGGTATAATAATACAAACAAGGTATACTGTTACTTTAAGAACAATTATAAGCACCTTGTATTCTTGTAATTATGATTTCCTACAATAATACTGAACATCATTATTATAAATCAATTCTCTAAGTTTACGTCTTAGATTTATTTTTATTGTAGGTTATATTTTATAAAAATAACATTTATGTTTCTTATTAAAATTAAATACAAAAGCAATTAATATTCTACCAAATTATCTTTATAAATATTTTATAAATGCAAATGGTAGTTTAGTATTTTTGTATACAGGCAACATTCCATCTGCCAAGAAAAAAAAAGAAACAGTCGGCCACGCTTGCTAAAGAGATCTTTTCACATTTTCGGGACCTATTTTCCCCCTTTTTATTTATTTCAAATATTGCTGTAATCAGTTCACAAACAAATCAAAACACACAACTATCTCCTCAAAATTCACAATGGCAGATCTAGACGATTTCTTCGCTAAAAAAGACCGTAAAAAATCGAAAGCAGTGAAAAAGTTCGCTACTGCTGACGAATTAGCTAAAAAAATGGAAGATACAAAACAGAAACCCGAGGTGCGGCCGAAGAAAGAAAGACCAACGCAAGAAGGTGACGAATCAGCACGGGCTGGGGTGAGTTTTTCTATGAGAATACCATAAATACGTTTCCTTGAGTTGGTCATCTGTCAATTGAAAATCACAATGGAAATCGTAATTTATATGAGTTATTGACGTGATATCCTGTCGTTTTGTTCTTGAACACACCTTTCATCATTTGACCCAATTGAATTAATTAACTCATGTTTTACGGGTTGTATTATACGTCAATGGTTATTTGTCAGTTACCATAACCTAGAGTTGTAGGTCATGGCATTTTTAATGATGACTTTTTTCTTAAATTATGTACATAATTGACTTTAATAGATTTTGTATTATCCTATATATTACATTATGACGGTAGAATTTAGGATTTAGAATTCCTTTACACAGGGTTGCCAACTTTTTTATTTTACCCTAAATTTGAAAGATTTTTTTTGCAAATAATAGGTTAGTAATTCACACTAATATTTTGTAGTGTTGCAATATTTATTTAAAATATAAATAAGTCTATAACAAAATATAAATAATACAAACTAGTTACAGTTATAGACTTTTTTCATTAAACTAATTAACATTATACCACAAGAAAAAAAAATGGGTTTCAACTGTAACAAAACCAGTTATTTTGATTTAAAATCTATAAACTACTGAGCCGAATTTGATAAAATTTCTATAGAACCAATCTGTAAGTATATCCTTTCAATTGAAAAAAACAATTTTCCAAATTTGTTTACAACTGAACTGGTAACAAACATAAAAAAAAAGTAATGTATGTGGTATTTTGAATGGAGAAGACCATGGTGCTTTTTATCCCACCTAATCAACATTTTCTGGTCACTTAAACAAAAGTACTGGAAAAGATTACTAAAAAAAAATTTTTTTTATGCTACTTAGAATGCCAAACAAGCTTACGGCCTACCTGGTAGGAATTGGTAACTGTCATCTATAGACAACAGTACCATAGACATGTCACCCATGATATCCTTCATGTGTTGCTATTTCTAAAAACTAAGTTCTAGTCACCTTTGTACTCTGTAATTTTATTGAATAAACAAATTAAATGATAAATATATCATTAATGTGCTTTGTTTTGTGTTCTTATCATGTTCAGTAAACAATCTTTACAAATATACATATGATAAATGGAGCAAAATCTTGTTTGAATGGTACCCTTACAACGGGCAACGAAATAGAGGTTGGCTACCCAAAAGATAGGAGGATGAACCTAAACAAACTGTAGGTTACAACTGGAGAAGAGCTTATTACAGGAGGTCTTTGTTTAGAGACACACCAAATTTTGAGACATTATTAAAAAAAAGAAATTTTAATAAAAATCATACATACATATCTAATAATATATGAGCTAATACTAAGGAGCTTCGGGATATAAAAGCTATTGTATTGTTTTATACTAAAATACAAAGTTAATCCAGCATTAACTGTCCACTGTTGGACATAAGCCTTCCCCATAAGGGAAGTTTTAGCAGTTGCCACACTTGGCAGGCAGGTTGTCAACCGCAGATAGGCTTTTAGAGATGTTTTAAGAGGGATACTGCTGCCCATTCCTCGTCCTTCTTTAGTTGCCTCTTATGCCACCCACAGGAAAAGCACATAGATAGGTATATATATAAATAATTCTCAGAAATGTCTGTCTGTTTAATTGTTCTGGTATCACACAAAAACTATCATATAGGATGTGTTTTTTATATTTATATCCTTATAGATATATCTTTAAAGTCTGGTGCATATTTTATATTGATATACATTCTAGTGAAAATAGTGGGCAAAAAAAATAAATTAATAAATAACTTTTTTATATTTTTACAGGAAGAGGAAGAGTGGAAAGAATATGAGGAGCCAGTTAAAGACTACACTGGCCTTAAGATACAGGTGTTGCAGGGCGGCAACGGAGCGCCCGAATCGGGCCGCGACAACACATCCGAGGACTCCGCCCCCGATAGTAGCAAGGGCAAAGGCCCCTGGAACAAACCTGTAAGATTGTCTATCTGTATTAACAACTATTTCAGGGAATCAGTGGACCGTTCCTTATGGCAGTCTATGGGGGAAGTCTATGTCCGGCAGTGGCATATAATAGCTGAATTGATGATGATGACGATGATTAACCACTATATAAAAACGTCAAGCCTCACAAAGACTGCAGTATGGGGTTCTTCAATAAGGGTGCATTAAGATTTCTTCAGGATCGGCAACACGAACGTGACAACCCTAGTGTTGCAGGCGTTCATAGGCTACAGTAAACATTTTTTTTAATGGGTGATAATGGTATGGTAACCCCGTCTGCGCTATCGGTATACACTGGCGGGGCACCAGTGATAGATGACTAACGAGGATGAAAGCAGGTCAGTTAGCCCATCCTGACGAATTCAACTAGAATTAGCCACGATGGTTTCCAAGGGGAAACCTTGCGTGGAGGTCGACCTGACAAGGTATATTGCTAGTAATGGGGCTATTTGACCTCATTACTAACAATCCCTTTCCCCCCAGTGAACAGTGCATTACACTATTGGTCGCTGCAGGTGGAGACGGAGGTGGCGGCGGCGGCGCCGGCGCCGGTGCCGGTGGAGCAGCCCGAGAAGAAGGCCACGTACGTGCCGCCCGTCCCGCGGCAGCGCGTCGCCGAGCCGCTGCGCCGGAATCAAGCTGTTAGTTTACAAATGATCAGCTGTTCAAAACTCTTTTCAATTTACTTCTAAAAGAGAGAGATTATCATTTTCTAAAAAATCACATATAAAATGCTATAAAATAATCGATCAGTTGAATTGGCTGAAACTTTATGAAGGTATTTTTTTTTTGATGGGTGAAAATAGTATGGTAACCCCACCTGCGGTAACGGGATACGCTGGCGGAGCACCAGTGAGGGGTGATAGATGAGAATGAGAACAGGCCAGTTAGCCCATCATGATGAATTCATCAAGAATTAACCATGATAGTTTCCAAGGAACCGCGAAGTCGACCTGGTTGGGTATATTGCTAGCAATGGAATTCTCAGTCTCCATTACTAACAATCCCTTTCCCCCCTTTATGAAGATATTAGGTACATAATTATCATTGAAGTATATAATACAATATATGACAGAATGAAGATGATTCATGAATAGTTCCAATGGGAATGATATACGGGAGCTACATAGTTAAAGGCAGGCAACACCGTGGGAAATGGTTAGTTAAAAATAAAGATGTAAGCTTATTTCTCATGTTCTGTAAATCCAGAATGGAAGTAGTAGATAATATCGGAACTACATGAATATTTTACCAGAGGGAGACTGTACAAAAGTCGTTTGCTTGGGTACCTCTGTCCTATTCGTGTTTCTACCGTGAAGCGTTGTGTTTGCATGGCTGTGTTTCGGTTTGAAGGATGGGATATGGCGTGAATTTACAGGGTACAGAGGTCAACTTTTTGTTAGCTAATTGTCAAATAGCTGATTCGTTTTTTTTTATCAATGTTCTATATACTTATGTACACAACATATCTATATTTAGTCATTTAATATATAAAATGTGTTTTTACGAATTAAAAATATGTAAAAATTATAAGACAAAACCAATATAGAAGTTATAAACGAAACACTCATAACTATTTATCACGCAAAATTGTATGAAAATGTTGATCCGCTTCTTTCGAAGCATTTGTATGGAGACACTCTATCTATATAACGTAAGGTTGCCACATATGCCCCCTGTACACTATGGTGACTTGTTTATGTGGACGCCGCAGAAGCACGCGCCGGACATCCACAACGACGACTCGTTCCCTGTGCTGGGCCGCGGCGGCGGCGCGCGCCGCGCCGGCTGGAGCACGGCCGGCGCCGCGCCGCCGCCGCACCACGCGCCGCGCCAGCCGCTCGCGCTCGGCAACCGCTTCACCTCGCTACAGGACGACAGCTAGCCAGGTGCCGACACTCCTTCAATCGCACATTAATCCAATCGATTGAATTATTAAATACACTTAACCAATCATTCTAGTACAACAAGTAATAATTTAAAAAATTACTCAATAAAAAAGTAATTGATTAAACAAGCAGCATTAAAACTTAAATCATACTAAATGGTTAGTAAATCAAATTATAAATTCATCATTAGTACAATCAATAAAAATATTCAATAAAAGATTTATCATTATTATACAAACATTAATTCAATCGATTAAATTATTGAATTAAAAAATAATCAGTCATTGTAATAAATTAATTTTAATTTATTGAATTTTTCAAGCAACAATATACCTCAATAATTAAAGTAATCACATAATAATTATATTGATTGAATATTGAAATTAAACAATTCTTTTATCAGAATTCCACCAACTAAAAATAAGATTAAATTGTCTTTTTTTTTCAACAGGTAACAACAAGCAGCTCTGCAATGCGAAGAAGTGAAGTGAAGTGTCAGTAAGGACTTTTAAGCGAAGTCTGGCGCATACATACACACATACATAAGTCACAGTTCAGAACAGTGCATTTCCGAATTCATAACATTGCCAAACTCACGGCTGTGGACAGTTGCTATAATAAAAAATAAATAAAAAAAACTATTCTAAATGTAATTAAAAATAATTTGTTTTCACATGGAAATTGTTGATAATAAATTTCCTTTGCCTTGGTTTTTTATAAACATAAAAATTGTAGACAATAATTATAATGCCTGGGAACGTGCTTTTGACACAGATTTTTAAATTTGGAACGTGTTGTTCCTTTAAAAAGGGAACACGAATTTTTAAATCTACGTCAAAAAGGGTATTTTAACATTGGAATATGGCAACTGTCTAAAAAAGGTGTATAAGTATAAACGGAAGTGTTTGCAAAAAAAAAAAAAAAAACTATTATAATTGTTATTTTTTATGTTTATATATAAAAAGGCCGTGTAACGAACGACGTGATGGACTTTTATAGGAAAATTGGTGTAAAATTTTGTAATAAGCCGATAATTTGCAGTTAAGTGTAAAGATCAAACGAGCGCGGGTTGTACGATGGAAAATTTATATTTACGGAAGATATTCATATAAAACTCGATGTTTGGGTGATAGATAAAGTGGACCGTCTTTGGTTACCTATAATGTACATTTGTTTTAATATTGCTGTTATATTTATCGGCGAATCATTCAGAACACGTTGTAACATAGTAATAAATTACGTATTTAAACCGATATGGACTTTTTATTTTTTTTTCCTAATAAAATTGACGCTAAGGAAAGATGTTTTTTTTTATGGGTGAAAATGGTATGGTAACCTCGCCTGCGCTAACGGGATACGCTGGCGGAGCACCAGTGAAGGGTGATCGATGAGAATGAAAACAGGCCAGTTAGCCCATCATGATGAATTCATCAGGAATTAACCATGATAGTTTCCAGGTTTAGCGCGAGGAGGTCGACCTGGTTGGGTATATTGCTAGCAATGGGATTCTCAGTCTCCATTACTAACAATCCCTTTCCCCCCAAGGAAAGATGTTAACCATTTATTTCCCTATATAGTAGATGTGCCCCTTTAGTTTCCGACCACAGAGTAATTACTGCCCTACTCAAATTTACAACTTTATCTTATACTTATTTTTTTTTTTATTTATACGTATGTTTGATTATGTGTTTTATGTAATTTTAATGTAGTAAAGAAAAAAGGTAGTTGTTGGATAAATCCGACTGAGGGATATATACCAGAGGGAGACTGTACAACAGAGTATATTGTTTCGTCCATGATACCCCCATGCGTTGCCATTCCTGAGGACTCAGGTGTTATTTCTCTGTACCCAGTAAATTCACGCCATATCCTACCCTTCAAACCGAAACACAGCCATGCACAACTGTTTCACGGTTGAAACACGAATGGGACAGAGGTACCCAAGCAAACGACTTTTGTACAAAGTCTCCTTCTGGCGACTGTACCTTCGCGACCATCCGAGACTATTAGGTATGTTTATTTATTTATTTAAACTTTAATGCACAGTGAAATTATGTACATATGGCGGACTTGACACCGGACGGTGTTCTCTGCCAGTCAACTATTAGGCGAACAGAGAAATAAGTAGGCGGCGCATTATTGAATAGAGGAAATATAAAATGTAATATTTAATATATGAATATATTATAAACATATAAATAGACTTTAATAAACATATACATAATATAGTAAATAAATAAATATATACATGAATAAATAAGTGATTTTTACTGTCCATTTCGTTCTTATAGCTAATAGAAATAAAAGTACAAACTGTTACTCTATACTATAATATCGTACTACTAGATAGCGCTGCTAAAAAAATATGGGACATGACAATATTATAAACTTTAATAGTATTTAGAAAATATTGCCCATAGGAAATATTTTTTAAATGTAAAAAATAGGCGAAATGCTATATAAAATTATTTATATAGCATTAATAATAGTTCCAATAAAGAAAATTATGTAGGTTATGCGAGCCAATATGATTATATGATTCGAAACGTTTAATGAAGATTCCAGATGTGGATCCTAGATGGCGCTACTATTAGTATTAGAGAAACAAATGTCGCATATATCCAATAAAATATGTAATTCATTATAAATATATCAAATTTTTAAGCTAAAATATAGTATATTCATAAATAAGTAAGTATTATTGTAAAATATACTGTTTTGTATATTAAAAAAGAATGTAAAGTATAATATTAATGATACTACCTGAAACGCGCTATTGAAGTATTTGAGTTTGTAAGTATATATACAATTTGTAATGCCCTTACAAATGTACTTGCTTCGGCAATACATATACTAAAATTGGAACGATACAGAGAAGATTAGCATGGCCCCTGCGCAAGGATGACACGCAAAATCGTGAAGCGTTCCACATTTTTTTGACATATGAAATTTAATAAAATAAAAATTCTTGATTTTAATACATATGGTAAAAAATCTGTACTAGTTTTTGTTTTATCTGAATACATTTATTTCGTAAATATAAATAATTTACGATTATTTAAATTTAAATCATAATAAATAATTAAATAGTAGACCAAAAGCAAAGAGCGGGGTGAATAAACTCGCAGTGGGGGGCGCGGATCATTTGTCTAGTAAGGCAAATGGATCATTGTCTAAATAAATCGTACGTAAAACTGGGTCAGTAACATATCTGGTTATAAAATTTATTTTAATAATATTATGCTAACAACCTTTTAAAAATGGGTCACAATTAAGAGAGGGACGTGACCCCACATAATTGTTTGGTGCCCCCGTGAATATTAATTTTAAACGCCCTTATAAAATACCTTAGACTTTAAAAAGGTTTTATATTTACTTTCTAGTAAGATTTTACTCACTTTTACATCGTTTACTTTAAAATATTTAATCACTGCGCTTCGGTTTGATATACTTACTGATTTGTAGGGCTTCGCAAAGTTGTGTGTTGGGCCCATCAAATATTTAGACTGTCTTCCTTCAGAGCGGGTAAATTTTTCTGTTTTTCTCAGATTGTGTTTAAATTTTTGGATTTAAATTATCGTGTAATTTTAGTTTAATGGTGATCGCTACTGAGTACTACGGGGTGAAAAAAATTTAGTTTTATGTTATTTAAATTGTCTGTATAAAAGTGACGTGGGGTGCCCCAGTACCCCAACCATTTGGATGAATGGCGGTCCTCTACTGCGTGTTTTTCAAGGCACTTCCTTCCACTCTTTCGAATCTACTTCCAGCAGCAGTATTTCCGAACCGATACGACATTATACCCTTCAAGAAAAGAGCATATTCCTTTATAAAAGGCCGGCAGCACACCTGCAATGCCGCTGGTGTTGTGGGTGATCATGAGCGGCGGTAGTCACTTACCATCAGGTGAGCCGCATGCTCGTTTGCCCCCTGTGTTATAAAAAAAGTACCTCAAAGTCAGAATAGCGTAAGTATTATTCTATATGTATTGATTATTTATGCATTTTTTATTTATTTATTCTTTATTGTACACAAAAAATTACAACATATAATATATATAAAATAGAGATGTACAACAGGCGAGCTTAACTCTGTAAGAGTTCTCTTCCAGCAAACCCTGAGTGGAAAGGAGCATTAATTACTAGCGGGCAGTGTGCGTACAATAATAGAAGGAAACATTATAGATGTTTCTATTAAAAAATAATAAATATGTTGACATATATAAGTAACTCACATATAGATATATACATAAACATTCTTTATTTATTTGTTCTTTTATTTCAATTTATTTTTTTACTAATTAGTTTTTAAAGAAATCCTTTACACAATATTATTTTTTATTATATATATATATATATATATATATATATATATATATATATATATATATATATATATATATGTTATTTTTGAAACATTGTTTTAATTTAATATTGTTCATCACGTTGCACCGTAAATTTTCTGTTATTCCTGTCTACGGTCGACTGGTAGATATTGCCATATGGTGTATTATTATTAAGCCCGCCTCTTGTACCAAACATTTTTTGTAATGTGGTCAAAGAAGAATAAACAAATAAATAAAACTATACTGTGTATTTCAGTAATTTGTTTTTATATAATAAATTACAGTTTTTTTTTTAATGGACGATAATGGAATGGTAACCCCGCCTGCGCTATCAGTACACACTGGCGGAGCACCAGTGATGGATGATTGATGAGCATGTAAGCAGGTCAGTTAGCCCATCGTGACGAATGCGACAAGTATTAGTCACAATGGTTTCCAGGGGGAACCGCGTGGAGGTCGACCTGACAGGGTTTGTTAGCAATGGGGACATTAGTCCCCATTGCTAACAACAGTGCCTTTCCCCCCAATAAATTACAGTTATTTTAGTACGAAATACGGTACCCTAGCACCCCTATATAGGAATAACTAGTACTCAAAGAGTGTAGCGTAGGGTTCTAGGGTTAATAAATTGTATTGAAACTAGAACTAGGTTTTGTTGGATGAAAAGAGGACATGGACAAAAGAGGAATATTTTTATATATTGTCAACAACAACAACATGGTTTTCTCTTGCCCGCCGGATGGTGTGTGAGCGGGCGAGGTAGGGGTCTCCCATTACCCCGGCTTCTACTCCGGAGGCGACGACCTCCGGGCTACTGGGTTTGCAGCCGGCATCTTGGTCTGTGTATGCCGGCGTGGTGTCATATATTGACGGTTTTTTTTTATAACACAGGGGGCAAACGAGCTTGCGGCTCACCTGATGGTAAGTGACCACCGCCGCCCATGATCACCCACAACACCAGGGGCATTGCAGGTGTGCTGCCGGCCTTTTAAAATGGAATATACTCTTTTCTTGAAGGTTATGTTGTCGTATCGGTTCGGAAATACTGACGGTTTATTTACAAAATACATTATCAGAAAATTGTGCTTCTGTACTACGAATGCTTCATTGAGTTAAATGCTTTATTACGTGCTCACCTAGTAAGTAAACACCACGTGTACTAGTTGTGCGCTCTGTAATTTATCACTAGATGTCTCTACGCGAATTCTACAGCGCGCTATAAAGATTCTCTCGCGAAGAATGACCTCTCTGCCGTCGATGAGTATCGGCAAGACCTTACTTCATAGGATCATTTCTATAGTAAGCTCTTCACCCAGAAACTCGCAATATGTGAGGGCACACAAGCCACGATGACGAGACGTGGCGCGGTACCCTGAGCGTGAGGCGGGCGATGGTGGTTCACCATCAGCCCTCGATGATCGTTCGCTCCCTTCGGGGAGAGTGGGGCACTGTCGCTTTCTGAGTGGTTTTTTTAAACTCTTTTAAATACTTAAAAATAGAAAAAATTAGTGAGTTGCTACCACTGTACTTATAACTAGCAACTCGCCCCGGTTTCCCACACGTGCAATATGTTTGTATAACTTTGATACTGTTCAACACATTGTCGAAAGGCTAGTATTTTGGCGGTATTATACTGTTTCGCCCATGATATCACCATGACACTCCTAAAGACTCGGGTGCTATTCCTCTGTACGATATAAATCCACTACCATATCCTAACCTTCAAACCAAAACACAGCCATGCAAACACAAATTACAGGCGACCTGTATATTCTGCTTGTGTGGTAACCCATATTATACAATAGGTAAAAGGAGAAATTACATGATTATCGTTACAAAAAACGGTTCAACTATTATAATAATGTTCAACTTAAATTATTAACGTCTATAACTGAATGCGAACTTTGTCCCAGACATACTAAGCAGTCAGAGGCCTGGGACGGAAAGCTGTTTTTTTTATTTAAGCTAATTTATTATTTTAGTTTTTTTATTTATGCCCTCACTGGATGTAATTTTACAAGCTTTCATTCAGTTCACATTTGTATTTATTTGTATAAGTATTTATGTTCAAGTAATTAAAATCTTGTAAATTAAATTAGACTTAAATAAATATACATACAATTTGGATATGCACAAGGAAAATGGAGGTACATGGGGGATACCAAAAGTTACTAGGCCATCATCGTTATAAATTAAGGGGGATTTTTACAAGAAAATAATGTGGGCAAATAATACAGACATAAACATATAATTTGATAGAATATTTTTAATAAAAAAATCTGTAGCTCTCGAGCTACATCAATGTAAGTACAAAAGGAACGTCGTGTATATATATATATATTGAAACCTTATTCCATCAATTTCTATTGTGACGCGCGCTCCACACCACATCCAGACGTAACGCTTCGATCTCATCCTCCGTCAAGTCTATTACATCTCCTTGGATAGGACACGTTTCCTCAAGTAATTCGGGACGTTTCCAAGCTATGATCTTAGAGGATTCTACCGATTCCTGCACCGCCCAGAAGTTAGGTACTTCATAGCAGTCGATTTCTTGTCCATTCATTGAGAGTTCTGGAGTAGGCACCGCCTTTTGTTTTTCTGCCTTCGATGTCGAGTCAGCCTCTACTGAAGCTGTGCAGTCCGAAGCTTCAGCCTTGCCTGTGAGCTTCTTAGTGTTATCAAGCAGTTTAAAAAGACTGAGATCCACTCCAGTAAATAACCTGTATCCATTGTTCTTTATGTAATTAGCAGATGCCAAGTCCATGAACACAATGCGTCTAACAGATATACCGCTTACTGAGGTATTTACTATCTTCCAACCAGTAGTTAGTAGTTTCGGATGAAAGCGTTGAAGCATTTTCAAAACTCTTTCTTCTTCCAGGCATCCTAAATTTCGGGACTTCCAAGCCATTTTGATAGATTTTAGAAGATTCTTGACATCTACCAGTTTCAGCCTGATACCTTTAACGGTTGACTCAGTAAGGGTTTGATTAAGCCAATTCTTTGTACCTTCATCATCACAATGAATATGAATGGCTCCAGATGTCACATTCATCATGTTGAATTTAGGGAGAGGATCATGCATTGACTCCAGTTTGTTCCATAGAATTCCCTGGATTGCAAAATACTCCTCCTCTCCCAACATTTGTTCAGGGAAGCTTTCGGCAATAACGGCTAGTTTTATAACGAATGGTGCCTTCAACGGGCTGGACCCAGAGCCTTCTACAGTTTTAGCATTGACCATCCCAATTTTCATGTCGTCAACCTTCCTTGTCGGGTTTACTTGCTCAGCTGCACCATTCTCCTTTGACTGCTCCTTCCGCAACCTTGCCCTCTCGCGACGTTTGCAGCCACTCAATTTCTTTTTTTTGCATCGCCAGCTCTGGCTTAGAACACCATCAGCCCCCATGGCAACAACAGTCTCACTTGGTAATTTCTTAATGAATTGTACGTCCAAGAATGCTGAATTATTGCCAGGTTGCAACAGTTGATCTGCCTGAGCTGAGACCTTCCTTCCTAAATCATAGTTTGATTCCTCAAGGTTTCCACATCTGCTGGTAGTGGCACCATTGTGGTTTCCACTACCATTCTCCAGCAGTGGTCCCTTGCAATGGAATCTGCTACCAGACAAATTGCTGAATGGCTTTGTTTCTCTTGAGACTGTTGACATTTTCTTAATGAATTGATCCTGAAAATAGTGGTTTTTGTAATAAGCATCTTTCCATATTGCAAATTTTTCCTGAATAATTGCCGTTTTTTTTTTTATAATTCAATTATATTTAAGAAAGTAATTATTATCTTTAATTAATGTTTTATATAATTAATAACTTGTATACCTTATGATGGTGAAACATAACCCACTACATTTCTACAACATCAAACTTATAACTACACCAATATTTATGCAAATGATTGATTAATTGATTTCCACTTGGAGAAGACATAACAGAATATTAGTAATATTGTAGTCACACCAAAAATAAATATAATATTGCAGTTTATCCAGAGATCTACATTCCTCTAAAGAAGTTACTATGAGGTTGAAATTTAAGTTAGTTCAGGTCCCTTACCTAAATTTAGTATTATATATTTTTTTGTTATTTAACACTTTATTGCATGAACATTACAGGATTTGTTGAAGAATTTTCGATAAGTATAGTGTAGTACAAAAGGCGGTCTTATTACTAAGCAATCTTTTCCAGACAACCTTAATATTTTTAAAAACCTTCCTCCATAGTATTTTTTCTTTTTTTTTTTTTATTGTAATCTAAATAAATTACTAGGACTCATCATAATGAAATTTCTGAACCAGTGTTTAACTTTTTGTCTGCCCGAGTTGAATATATCTAACAGAAAATTTGTCTATTTTTTTTATTTATTCAAATGTATAACATAGACATTACACTTTAAAAGTTAAGTCTTTGTAAAAGATACTTAACCAATTTTAATATTTTTTTCAAAAGTCAGTGCAAACAAGTAGTTTAGAATATTTTAAATTAACTTGTCATTTAAATATTAAAGAAAGCAAGTAGCAATTTGAGGCAAGTGGTCAAAAGATTAAATTTAAAGTATTTAGGTACAGGAAAGTAGCTAAATTCTTTCAATTAATTTAATCTTTTATTTATTGATTTATTTATTTAATTCTTTATTGTACACACCAGTTATTTATAGGAATATGAATACAGTTATTTATAATTAATGTAGGAATGTTAATTAAAAAAAAAACTTTTTTCTATTGAAATCCCCTTTAAAGAGGGGCTATGTTCAGCAGTGGACAGTTAACTAATATGATGAAGATATTGGTTATTGGAGAATAATTTTAGTCAAGATAATTTTCTTTTTTATATTAATTAAATTAATAAATGAAAAATATAATGTTTTCAAATAAATACTATATGTCACTATTATGTTATGTACATAATTGTAGAGAAATTAAACATCAAAATTTTTAACTTGGCCTTAACAAAAAAAGAAAACATTCGAAAAAAAAAATATTAAAATATTCCCAACCTCATGAAAGATTTAAATATTAAGTTATATTACCTCAGTAGTAAGCCACGCCGTTTCTCGCTTTACTTGTGTTGGATAACTAAACCCCAAGAACGTTATATTTACCAAAACTCGAGATAAAAACAAATCAGTCTTTCCGCAGAAAAATATTTTTTCCACTTTTCTTAGAAAGCACGTCTTATAACCCAGTGGTCTTCAGACTCGTATTTCCCTTTATATTTATCAATTTTTATAAACTTCATTTAAAGTTTTTTTTTTTACTTAGAAAAAAGTAAAGATAAAACTTTTTAATAACAAAACATAAAGTTGAATTTTGACATTTCACCATATTACGTTAATTTGCGTCTTGACATTGACAGTTTAAATGACTTTGCATTCAAATTTGATTATTTAATTTATTCATAAGAATGAAAAAAAAAATAAAGGTACAAAACAAAACAGTACCTTTATTATATACCTGTAGACGGATCCTAAATATATTGGTCTAAGGTCCACTTTTGTATTCCCTAGTTATGTATTTTTTCTTATCTTGTTTTAAACCTTGTATAATTACTAAAATCTTACCCAATATAGCAGCTTATATCAAACAATCAAGGGTCTTGTTTTTGAATATTTGGATTATGTACAGATAACGTAATCTTTCTTGTCTACGTAATTTTCTTTTTAACAGACAAATTTCTCGTCTGTGGTAGTAAAATATGACCAGTGTTTTAATTTTGTCCTCTAGCTAATAAAACTGTAAATCCGCCTTCGCTATCAGTATACTTTGGCGGAGTACTAATTAAAGATGACAGGTGAAGATGAAGTAGGTCAGTTTTTTTTAATAGATGAAGATGGAATGGTAACAACGCCTACGCTTTCGGTATACACTGAAGGGGCCCCAGTAAGAAATGATAGGTGAGGATAAAAGTAGGTCAGTCAGGTCATCGAAAATAATTCGACTAGTATTAACCAGAATGGTTTCAAGAAGGAACCACGTGGGGATTGGTTCCATAAGGTTTTTTTTTTAATGAATGATTATGATATGGTAACCCCGTCTGCGCTATCGGTATACACTGGCAGGGCACTAGTGATAGATGACTGATGAAGATGAAAGCAGGTCAGTTAACCCACCCTGACGAATCAAACTAGAATTAGTCACGATGGTTTCCAAGGGGAACCACGTGGAGGTCGACCTGACAGGGTATATTGCTAGTAATAGGGCTATTTGACCCCATTACTAACAATCCCTTTCCCCCCTCAATCTAATAGGGTATATTGTTAGCAATAAAGCAGTCAAAACATATTAACAAACTTCCCCTTCCTAGTGACATAGTTTTTTATTGTTGGATGAAAATGGATTAGTAACCCCGCCTGTGCTAACGGTATACGCTGGCGGGGCACCAGTGAAGGGTGATCGATGAGAATGAAAACAGGCCAGTTAGCCCGTCATGATGAATTCATCAACAATCAATAATCATGACAGTTCCAGGGGGAACCGCGTGGAGGTCGACCTGGTTAGGTATATTGCTAGCAATAGGATTTTTAGTCTCCATTACTAACAATCCCTTTCCCCCCAGCGACATAGTTAAATGCAATAGAATGATTGGATAATGCATACCCACATATTCATAGTGCAATTATATAGCCACCAAAAATAAGTATTAATATAATCCATATTGCTGTTTAAAAATAAATACATTTCGTTTCAAGGAAATATTTTTATGAATTATTAATAAAAAACACTCACATTTATAATTAAATTTATTCTAACAATACATTTTACATAAAAAAATATATTACACTTACAGATAATAAACAAACATGAAGTCAGTGACAATTTCATGTTATAATCGGAATTTGTAACGTCTGATAACCCATACACTTAGATTATATAGATATAAAGAATCAAATGTCAAAAACGTGGGCAGCTAAATGAACATTTGGCTGACTCAATTTGACACAATTTTTTTTTAAACATGCCATTTCAATTATTTAAAAATGGAATTTTAAATCACCGCTATACTTGGATATAAATCAAAATAATAAGTAAAGGAACCATCGATACAAATGTTTATGTATCATTTACCATGTTTTTTTTTTTTATATATTCTTAATAATATATTATTAGAAATATACCACTTTCCACCAGGTGGGCGTCAGCTTGTTTGCCATTCTAAGTTGTACAAAAAAATTTTATCATTTCATTTTTCATTTTAACCATGGATAAAAAAGTCAACCTGTTTTTGGGGGAGCATTTGTATGGTGACAAACTATCCATATAATCTAAGCCCAGTAAGATGGGGAAACGGTTACATAAAATCAACATTTTGCATTATTGTTCATGAAACTGTCACCCTTTTGTCAAGCAAGGTAGTAGAAACAACTCAGATGTCTCTCTGTAGAACTATGAAAATATTTTTTGATGCTGGCGATTCTTTGTCTATGGACATAGGTACTTAAACATCATCCGTGAGCCCCACACTCCTTTGCCATACTATCACATAAAATAATATTTTTATTTTTTATGAAAGATAAGTCTATTTATTATCTATGAAGTCTGTTATTTCATATTCTGTTTACTTATATAATGTTTTAACAAAATGTGTATGTAAAAAAAAAAAAAAACTAAATAGATCACAGTCTGTGAATCCTTTAAACAATAATGCGAATACAGAAATGTATACTATAACATATACATATCTTTATTAAATGTAAAAAAATATGTAAGAGCTTTAGAAAAAAAAATCCATTTGTTTCAGCATCAAGCAGAAACTACTGCACCAAATTCTTACTTCTTCTATAAATAAACTAAGTAAAAACAAAGTTTTATCTGCCATTAGTCTTGCTGAGCGCGACCGGTATAAAAACTTGATACTTGGGCGTGTTCCCGCCTTTTTCTATGACCGCTCGCGCCAAAGAGAATGGATCTAACTTCTTTTTTACTACTAGGAATCTGAAACAAAGAGTAAGACTTTATTGTACAGTAATCTTAAAATAGGATACAGAGATTTTAAGAAAAGAATGAGTACAATAGCGGACTTATACCATAAAGTAATCTATTTTTTTTTAAACTAATTAATATAAGTTAAATTTTAATTAAGTTTTTCAACCGACTTCAAAAGAGGTCATTCTCAATTTTGCTCTTTTATTTGTCTTTTCTACTCCATAACTCCATTTTATTTATAAAATGATTTGGAAAATTCTCTTTTTATCTGAAAAAATATATTTTCCAATTAGTCCCATAGACATTTTATTAAAATTAATTTAGTTGTTTAGATTTAAATTGAAATAAGTAGTTTGACCATGACTGAAGTTAATGATTCTTTTTTGGAACAACTCTTTAATTATCACATGACTTTTATTGGTAATTTTCACAAAATAAATATGTCCCAACATGGGAATAAAATTACAAAATATATTGTAAAAAAAAAAGGACTTTATAATACACTAAAGATCCTGCCCGGCTTTGCACGGGTACATATAATTTATTTATAGGATATTATTTTTAAAAATAATATATATAGCCTATGTTATTTGCTGATAATGTAGCTTAATATTGATGAAAGAATTATTAAAATCGGTTTAATATTTTTTGAGTTTTATCCATTATAAACATACAAATAAATCTTTCCTTATTATAATATTGCTCTACAAGAGTGGAGTGACTGTAAACTAAAAGCTTTAGTGTCGAGTGACAATGTCAATAGTCAAGGGCAAGGCCATTAATTTAAAAGTCAAGGCTACAAATATAAAGGTCAAGGTTACTAATATAAAGATCAAGGTTCATAAGATATAGGTCAAGGTCAGACACAACAAAAGGAATGTCAGAAAGCCAAAGGTCAGGAATCATAGATCAAGGTCACCTGTCCTTATCGCCATAACTCCTCGAGGTGAGGCCCGCCCTCTGCGCGAGCTGGTGCAGCTGCGCGCGCTCCTCCTTGCTGAACTCGCTGCTGAAGACTAGGTCGACGTCGAGGGTGTCTGAATCACGGTACCGCTGCATCAGATCCTGGGCTGCGCGCCTCAGCTGCCGAATATCGGTGCCGATGCTGCCCAGACCGGCGCGGTTCACCTGCATCGCAATTATCATCATTCATTTAGTTCTTCCAATACCATTGATAGATGCTTGATATCAAATAGTATTATATTCTTTGACTAGCAATTCGCCCCAGCTCCGCACGGATAAATATAAAAAGATATATTAGCTTTAACAGACAATTTTTTAACACTTTCCGTTACATTATTACAAAATAATAAAATTATTATATATATTAATAACCTACATTACTTGCTGATAATGTAGCTTCATATAGGTGATAGAATTTTAAAAATCCTTTGACTAGTTTTTAGTTTATTCATTATAAACAAACACACACACAAAAATTATTAATGTTATAAAGTATACAGACAGAGCATCAAATTTTTTTTAATGAATGATAATTAAATGGCAACCCCGCCCGCGCTGACGGCATATGCTGGCGAGGCACCAGTAAGGGATGATAGGTGAGAATGAAAAAGCAAGTCAGTTAGCCCATCGTGATGAATACGTCTGGAATGCAGCACAATGGTTTCCAGGTACCACGTGGAGGTCGACCTGATAGGGTGTATTGCTAGTAATGGGGGAATTAGACTCCATTACTAACAATCCCTTTTCCCCCTCATTGAGGCGTTATAGGTGAGAATGAAGTCGTCCATGCTGGCAACTTTACCAAGTAATAACCACGATGGTTTCTAGGGGGGCCCATGGATAGGTCAATCAGAGAGTATTGCTGTGTGCTATTGAACTAGTGACGTGTACTATTGAACTAGTACCATTACTAATAATCCTTCACCCCTGTCGTCAGCTTGCCATTCTAAGTATGAAACAAAAAAGGTCCGATAATAGGCAATAATACAAACCATTTGTAAGTTAGGCTTGATGGGCTCGGCGATGCCCTGCGAGTCCGCGCCCAACCCGCCGCCTTTCCATCCCATCAACTTCATCATTCTGTAACGAATTCATTATTATTTTCATAATAATATAACATAAGAGACAACATAAACAGAGACAATATGGTCCATGAATGTGATAAATCGAAAAAAAATCCATTTTTCTACTGTCAATGGTTTGCTACACTCTGTCGCCTCACTTAGTGCTTTCAACCGACTTTAAAAAGAAGGAGGTTTTCAATTCAGTTGTATTTTGTTTTTGTTTGTTATCTCATGTCTCCATCAGTTTTTTTTTATTGGATGAAAATGGAGTGGTAACCCCGCCTGCGCTAATGGGATACGCTGGCGGGGCACCAGTGAAGGATGATAGATGAGAATGAAAACAAGCCAGTTAGCCCATCATGATGAATTCATCAGGAATTAACCATTATAGTTTCCAGGGGGAACCGCGAGGAGGTCGACCTGGTTGGGTATATTGCTAGCAATGGGATTCTTAGTCTCCATTACTAACAATCCCTTTTCCCCCCAACTCCATCAGTTGTAAACCGATTAAAAAAAATATTTTTTTAACCGAAAGGACATACTTACAGATTGTTCTCTTAGAAATTTTTATCAAAATTAGTTCAGTAGTATTTAGTTTTAAAGTAAAAATAACTAACAAGTTAGTTTAAACTATTCACGCCACGTTTGAAGGTTATTGGCGTATCAGAGAATGTAAATAATTTGGTAGCATACTTGGTAGCTACATTGTTTTCTATGCGGGCACCGAAGTCCTCCCTCTGGCCGGTGACATCGCGTACTGATATCCTCGCGTCCCCCTGCGCTATCCACAGTTCCTTCACAACTATACTGATTGATTCTTCACGCAACCTCTGTAATGAATCGGGAAACTTGTTTTAAATTATTATACACATAATCAGCAGTTCCTCTCTTACTTAAGTAAGAGATATACATATGCAAAGATATATAGAGCGTATAGTTTAATTATATGCAAAGCCCAATGTATATAATATTGGACGTTGCATATAGTTAATATATTTGCATGTAGATAGAATGAGTCGAAACGTTGAATGTCTCATTCCAACTCACGGACTCGCTAGTGATGTCAATTCTATTGACGAATCCACTTGCCACTTTTCTAGAGGGCCCCGCTCACATTCTACAGTGAGAATTAGATAATTTTGGACTGGATATGGATCACTCGGTCCCAAACTTGGCTTATTTAAGTTATTATTATAGGCTTATTTAGACTAATACAATGAATTCCTTATTATGGTAAATACATACATTCCATGCTAACATCTCAACAATACTCCTGGCTTCAGCCTTGTTGGTGCCTGTGGCTTGTGCTAGTAGCTTCTCATTCAGCAAAAGCGAGAAACAGTTGTTTTCATACACTGTTCTTAATGGGATCCCACACACTTGGCAGCTTGCTGAAATTTTTATATATAATTTTTTGTGAATTTAACCCTTCTTAATTGCATGTTTTTTTTTATTGGTGAAATAAATCAAGGAGATATAATATATGTACAAAATTAAAGGAAAAATGGTTAAAAAAATAAATTTGACAGCTATAGTTTTTTTTTCTGCATCATTAAAAAGGTATCCAGACACGATCAACTTACAGTGAACTTGTTCTTTTATATAATTTTTGGGCTTCAATGTTATGATGGAAATTTCTACCATTATGCAAAGAAGCGTAAAAATAAAACTAAAAATAAACTAACAATCAGTCAAAACAATTTTCACTTCCATAACACTTGCAGTGTTTCCACATTGGATTGCCAGATTTTGTGTAATAAATAAAAACTTGAACTAGTTTTCAAAAGAAAATTAATAGAATTGCAATAACTCACATTGTATATTTCCTAATTTACTAGACCAAGGCCTTATTAAGAGAACCATTCTGCCGAATGTCGTGTGAAACATTCTCTCGTTGAACATTTTAACATCAATACATTTAACTTTCTGCATTTCACTCAGATATTCATTAGCATCGATCACTTCTGAGGACTTTTTCTCGCATAATCTCTCTGGTTCCTTATTCTCATTGTTGTCCAATTGTTCTACATTACTATTTGTATCATTTTCAACGTCCCCGTGTCCTTGTTGCACAAATTGTATTTTAGGAGTCTTCTGCGGTGGTCCGTTTAAGATGACACCACCTTCTCGCTTGATACCTTTAGCTCTGTCCTCAGCAGCATCAGATGCGGACACAAATGTCCTTTGTAATTTAAATTTCTTTGCATTCCTGTAGTTTTGTGCCACCTGTAACATAAATAGTTACCTCTTTATTGAAAATTCAAATGTTTAGTAACTCAATATTAATTTTTAATTGTATTTCTAATGTGTAAGTAATAAGTTTTCCAGTTATTGAAATACAGTGAACACTCTATACAAGCAACTTATTTCAACTAATTTCAATAAAAAAAAATCTTATTGTGAAAAGTTACTTATAGGAAAAGAAAGAGTATAAAAATACTTACGTGTGGAAAATATTTTTACTTATTTCTTTTACTAACTAAGCTGAGTAGAATAAATAAAATAAAATATAAAGAATGTTGCTTATAGAGCATTCACTGTATAAATATAATTTGACATTTTGAAACTTTTACTCTGCCTCTTATCAGGTGTATATTGTATTTAATATGTATAAATTTTAATAATTTATTCATAGTTTTTTTTTTGAAGGATGAAAATGGTATGGTAATGGGATACGCTGAGGGAGCACCAGTGAAGGGTGATCAATGAGGATGAAAACAGGCCAGTTAGCCCATCATGATGAATTCATCAGGAATTAACCATGATAGTTTCCAGGGAGAACCGCGAGGAAGTCGACCTGGTTGGGTATATCGCTAGCAATAGGATTCTCAGTCTCCATTACTAACAATCCGTTTTCCCCCAATTTATTTATAGTTGGTAGGATGGAATGGTAACCCTATCTATGCTATCAGTATATGCTAGCACCAGTGAGAGATAATAGAAGAGGATGTAATGGTATAGTAATGGGCCACCATTGTGATGAATTCCACAAGAAAACTTAAGAATATTTTTCCAGTGGGACTGTGTGACCAACATAAAACATTATACCTCTATGAATGAAGCTGTTAAACCCTATTATATACTCAATAAAATATGTATTCAATCACTCTGGCCAGATCAGACACATCCTTTTCCTCTCACAAGAGGTAGGTTTATTTTAATGGGGGATAATGGAATGGTGGCACCACCTGCGCTATCGGTATATGCTGGCAGGGCACCAGTGACGGATGATTGGTAAGGATAAAAGGCAAGTCAGTTAGTCCATTATGACAAATTCAATGATAAATGAGTTGCAATGGCTTCCAGGGGTAACTGCGTCGAGGTTGGCCTGATAGGGTATATTGATACCAATGATGACTGACCTCATTACTAACAATACCCTTTTCCCCCTATTACTATAGGTGTTTTTTTAATGGATGATAATAGAATGGTAGCCCCACTCGCACTATTGGTATACACTGGCAGTGCACCAGTGAGGGATGGATGATAGGTGATAATGAAAGCAGGTCAGTTAACCCATCGTAATGAATTCCACTTGAATTAATGACAATGGTTACCAGAGGGAACTGCGTGGAGGTTGACCTGATAGGGTAGCAATAGAGCTGTTAGATCTCCAATACTAACAATCCATTTCCCCTCCATTACTATAGATTAGGTTTAGAATAATGAAGGTGTTTTAATGAATGCCTTCCATTAGTTGTAAGTTTTAATTCTATAACTAAAAGTATGGTTAGTGGATACCTTAAGAGACGTCTTGGTCGCTTTGATCGATGTTAGACACAAGTGCGACAAATCATCAGACAAACACAATTATTTTAATTATTCTTAAAATAACATAATTAGGTTAGCGTTACCTCTTGAGAAAGCCTGGCAACTTCTTGCATTACTTCAATGGGGTATCTGCACCCCATGAACTCCATGTTAGCGAAAACCTTCGCCAAACACACCAGCCTTTCTTCAGGATAATCATTTTTCCATCTCTCCATGAAAGCGCGTCTTAAATCCCAATGGTCTTCACTTTCGTGATCCTCCCTATACTTGTCAATACTCCAATTTGTATCAAAAGACATGTTTATGTCAATATTCTATGTTTACTACAGTAAAATTTTAATTCCTTCTCATTAAATATATAAGTAAATAACTGAAAAACTATACTAGAAGTAGGAGATAAATACATATCACAGATTAGTTATAACATGTGAGAGAGAATATGAGAATGACTGGAAATCTAAGCTGAAAATATCTAAGGCAAGAACAGGAAATACAAATTTTGATGTAAATGCACAGATTATTAGAGAGACTCAGAGACCATCTATGGACACCTTAGATTAACGCAGTACGTTACACGATATCTATGTTGAATATTTTGGTTAGATATAGATCAAATTGGAGGTAGATAAGTATAAAATCACTTGCGCGTCGAATAAATGAAGTGTCGCTAAAATCTCAAATCACCTAGTCACGTACTATTCGATCAACCGCATTCTTCGCATCAAATCAACAAAAATGTTAAATATTTGGACTGAAATACAGACGCGTATAAGAGGACAAACATGTAGAGCCTACGTGTACAGGTTTGTTGTTAATTCTTCCTTCTGTTTTCTCAACAAGTATCTTTTATTTCATTTTATGCCCGTTTTTCATTTATTAAATATTATATTACATCAAATGACTTTTAGGCTAAAAATGTTTTCGATCAACCCTTATTTTTCTTAATGTAAATTTAAGTTTATGAGTAAAACAATTTACGTAGATAGTTTCTAATGCTGAAATCTAGTTTGATGGACACTGTAGCTGTCAGTCTGACTTGCAATTTTTTCATATCTGTGGCGATCCGACAAATGTTCTTCTCTGAATTGTTATTTATTTATTATAAATTTAATTTATATTTAAAGTTTTGAATAAATAAACATGAGTGGAAATATTTTAATCAACGAAATATTCGGTCAGTTTCAAAAAAGTCTTGACCAAGAAGCTGAATTGCGAGAGGTAATTTATGTTTAAGTAATATTTTTAGCATGACGCACATTATCAATTATTGTTTGGTTTGGATTTTTATATTATTTCGTACTAAATATACCAGCGATTGTACGTGACCTGAATAAAAAAAAAAATAGCCAATGTGCTTACCAATGCTAAATACTGTATGAATGTGAAATTTCATAATAAATAAGGCGGTTGGCGCGCATACCGGTAACAGTCGCCTTTCACATTTAGAATATTTCGTATAATAATTGAAGTACAGTACCATCTAACAGGTCAATGTACTTATTATATTTCAACATACAAAAATAAACGGTTAATGTTAAAATATATACAAATTTATATATTTTTTTTTTAAACAAATTAAAATTTTAGTATAAATAATGGATAAAAATTTATACTTTTAAGGCGATGATAAAATATTTGAAATACACAATCGGGACTTGACGCAATGAAAAATCTTAGCAGGTAGGCCTTTCTCATATATCTTCCATATATGTGGAAGGCCTATGTTCAGGAGTTGACAGTTAATGTTAATATGATGACAATGATGATGATGATGATTACTATTTTCAGATGATAATAACAATTTTGATTTCACCCTGTATAATAAACATATAATAAAATGGTAACTGGTCACTGTCTGTACATGGAAGATATGTATGAAAAAATATAGGGAGACTTTATGAACACAGTAGAACCCAAAACAATGATTTTTAGAATTTTTATCTGTTTGTACATTTGTGCATGCTAATCTCAAAAACATTCACAACATCAAGCAACGGCTGTGTTGTTTGCCCATTCTTCTCAGCTGTAATTGCATGCAGAAATGGGTCTTAGATTAAAAACAAATGAAAAATTTTCCATGTACAGACAGCAACCAATTTTTTTTATACACTTAGAAGTACAAACAAGCTGACAGCCCACCTGATAGAAAGTGGTAAACATCACCTATAGACATGAGCAGTACCATGGACATAACAGAGTATACTGTTTCGCCCATGATACCCCCCATGCGTTGCCATTCCTGAGGACTCAAATGTTATACTCTGTACCCTGTACCAATATGATAAAAATTAAAATTAATTATATTACAGTCAATCAGAAACATTTCCAAGGAGGTGGACCAGTTGTCCCGTGAAATATTGACCGTCCTACAAGTTATACATCATGATGAAAGTGGCAGTAAGTTTTATATAATATTTGTAAACATTTTGTTATAACTAGCTGTTTTCGGGGGGAAAGGAATTGTTAGTAATGGAGGTCTAAAGCCCCATTGCTAGCAATATATTCTGTCAGGTTAATTTATGTGGAATTCGCTCAATGGGCTAGTTGGCCAGCTGTCATCTTCACCTATTATCCTTCACTGGTGCCACGTCAGCATATACTGATAGTGCAGGTGGGGTTACCAGGAATGGTAATGCAACCAGCGCTATCACCCATAAAAAAGGAAACTACCTTTTTACTACTTCTTTGGCCTCATACTTTAGTACATAAAGTGTTCTATGTGCTAAGTTAATATTTAACCTATCAGGGCACTATTTAACCCCCATCCCCCCTTGTTAAATGCCCAAGGAATAATCCCTAACATTTACAAAAAATCAATGTAAAAATTGGTTTACAGTTGATCATGTGACGTGTGACATAGTTGCAAAGATTATTAAAATAAAGGCTCTCAAAAATTGAATACGCAATGATATCTACACGTAAGAACTGATATTCGAGGTTGCCATTCCTGAGGACTCAGGTGTTATTCCTCTATATCCTGTAAATTCACTGCCACATACCACCCTTCAAACTGAAACACAGCCATGCAAACACAACTGCTTCATGGTAGAAACACGAATGGGACAGAGGTAGCCAAGCAAACGACTTTTGTATAAAGCCTCCCTCTCCCTCTCTGGTGTTGGGGTTATTCATAATAAACATTCATTCCAGTAAATCCAGCATGCCTGAAAGCCCGCGAGTTGTTCGAGAGAGCCCGCATTGGCTACGGCAGACTGAAGGAAGCGGTGCCCTCTACCGATTATTACAAGTATGAATATGTTTCTCTTCTTCAATCGACTTCAAAAAAGGAGGTTTTTTATGTTTATTATTTCAGATATTAACTGCCCACTGCTGGACATAAGCCTTCCCCATAAGGGGAGTTTTGCCAGTAGTTGCCACGCTTAGCAGGCGGGTTTGGCAGCCGCAATTAGGCTTTTAGAGATGTTTTAAGAGGGACGCTGCTGCCCAATCCTAGCTATCCCTTAGTCGCCTCTTACGACACCCACAGGAAAGGAAGGGGTGGTACATTCTATGCCGGGGCACATGCGGCATTTTTTTATGTTTGTTACTAAATAACTCTGTTAGTTATAAACCGATTTGGAATTTTTTTTAACTGAAATGATATATGTATATTCAGATTGGTCTCATAGCAATTTTATCAGAATCGGTACAGTAATTTAATATTTAAATTGAAACAACTAGTTTTGACACGAATGAATTCGGTCTGTTTTTGTGGAACGAATTATCAAGCAATCTTATATTATGCTAAAATGATTTTTCTTTTATTGTATGCAACTTAGAATGCCAATCAAGCTGACGGCCGTAACCGTCGCCTATAAACATGAGCAGTACCATGGACATAACAGAGTATACTGTTTCGCCCATGATACCCCCCATGCGTTGCCATTCCTGAGGACTCAGGTGTTATTTCTCTGTACCTAGTAAATTCACCCTTCAACCGAAACACAGCCATGCAAACACAACGGCTTCACGATTGAAACACGAATAGGACAGAGGTACCCGAGCAATCGACTTTTGTACAAAGTCTCCCTCTGGTTACCTTACATATTAAAAGTCTAGATTATAGCACTTTTAGCTCATGTCAAAAAAGGTAGTCAATTCGGTTGTATTTTTCTTGGTGTGCAGGTACCACGACCACTGGCGCATGATGACGCAGCGCTACGCTTTCCTGATCTCGCTCACCATATGGCTGGAGGCGGGCATACTGGCCGCGCACGACACCGTCGCCGACGTGCTGGGCAGTGAGTGTGGCAACTAACGTACCTATGTACATACACTAGCCATTTCCCGCCGCGTTGCTTGCTTCTAACTATGTAGTTTCCGTATATAATTCCCATTGGAATTGTTCATGAATCCGGTCTTATATTGTATTATACATTTAAATGATAATTACGTACCTAATACCTTCGTAAAGTTTCAGCAAATTCAACTGATCGGTTATTTTATAGCATTTTATATGCGATTCTTTAGATTGATATAACTTTTTTATTTATAAACCGATTGAAATAAAAAAAAACTAAATGTTAAGTGTAGCAAATCGCAGCACATTAATGATAACCGCATTCAAATCGGTTAAGCCGTTTCTGAGATTAGCGTGCACAAACATACAGACCAACAGACAAAAATTCTAAAAATAATTGTTTTGGGTTCTGTTGCATTCATGAAGGCCGCCTATAATAGTTTTTCTTGTATATCTTTCATGTACATACAGCGACCAGTTATGATTTTATTATATATATATATATATATATATATATATATATATATATATATATATATATATATATATATATGTGAATGGTATAGTGAATGGTAACCCCGCCTGTGCTATCGGTATACACTGACAGGGCACCAGTGGCAGATGATAACTGAAGATTACTTCATCCTCAGTAGATCAATTGGCAGTGACGAATTACCTTGGAATTAAGCATGATGGTCTCCTAAGGAAGGTCCTCCTACCAGAGGGAGACTTTGTACAAAAGTCGATTGCTTGGGTACCTCTGTCCCATTCGTGTTTCTACCGTGAAGCAGTTGTGTTTGCATGGCTGTGTTTCGGTTTGAAGGGTGTGATATGGCGTGAATTTACAGAGTACAGAGGAATAACACCTGAGTCCTTAGGAATGGCAACGCATGGGGGGTATCATGGGCGAAACAGTATACTCTGTTATGTCCATGGTACTGCTCATGTCTATAGGCGACGGTTACCACTTTCCATCAGGTGGGCCGTTAGCTTATTTGCCATTCTAAGTTGTATAAAAAAAAAAGGAAATCGTGTGGAGATCGACCTAACAGGATATTGCTAGCAATGGAGATGCTATTATTAAAAAATCCCTTCCCCCCATTTTTCAAGGGTTATAAATGTATTAATTTGTTTATTTTGCTGACAGTAAGCGCGGTAGAGCAGCAGGAAGGGTTTCACCTCGACATAGAGGACTATTTAGTTGGTCTGCTCATGCTGTGCTCTGAACTGGTGAGTATTAGCATAGTCACCTCTTACGACACCTACGGGTAATGAAGGGCTGGTCCATTCTATACCGGACAGTAGTGGGTAATATATAAAAATATCTATGTGTTTTAGATACAATAACTATATATTTTAGATACAAGATCTATATATTTTAAATAAAATATCTATGCATTTTAGATACAGTTACTAAATATATTAAATAAAATATCTATGCATTTTAGATACAGTTACTATATATTTTAGATACAAGATCTATATATTTTAAATAAAATATCTATGCATTTTAGATACAGTTACTAAATATATTAAATAAAATATCTATGCATTTTAGATACAGTTACTAAATATATTAAATAAAATATCTATGCATTTTAGATACAATAACTATATATTTTAGATACAAGATCTATATATTTTAAATAAAATATCTATGCATTTTAGATACAGTTACTAAATATATTAAATAAAATATCTATGTATTTTAGATACAATAACTATATATTTTAGATACAATATTCATATATTTTAGATATAATATCTATGTATTTTAGATACAATAACTGTATATTTTAGATACAATATTCATATATTTTAGATACAATATCTATGTATTTTAGATACAATAACTATATATTTTAGATACAATATTCATATATTTTAGATACAATATCTATGTATTTTAGATACAATATTCATATATTTTAGATACAATATCTATATATTTTAGTAACAATATCTATATATTTTCATTACAATATCGATATACTGGTTTAATAACAGATATGTTAAAAATTTGTTATCCAAACAATAATATCGGATAACAGATTTTTAACATATTCGAAATAGATATCTGACCGATATAGGCAATATCGAAATGGGTGATGGCATTTTTTGTGCCATCAGTGTCCAGAGAAACCCAATATATAGATATCGGATCGGTATCCAAACGTAATGCCGGGACGATACGGCGTATATATATTATCTAACAGGGTATATAATATAGTTTTTTTTTTTAATGGGTGAAAATGGAATGGTAACCCCGCCCGCGCTATCGGTATACACCGGCGAGGCACCAGTGAAGAATGATAGGTAAGAATGAATGCAGGTCAGTTGGCCCACCATGATGAATTCGACAAGAATTAAACAAGATGGTTTCCAGGGGGAACCGCGTGGAGGTCAACTTGGGAGGGTGTATTGCCAGTAATGGGGCTATTAGACCCCATTACTAACAATCCCTTTCCCCCCAATATAATATAGTTTGGAATATGTTTCAGTCACGACTGGCGGTGAACTCTGTAACGCGGGGCGATTATAGTAGGCCGCTGCAAATATCCAAGTTTGTGATGGAACTCAACGCTGGCTTTAGGTGAGGTTATTTAAAGGACCTTAATGCAGTATCTAATTATATCAACTACTAACTGTCCATTGCTGGACATAGACTTTCCCTCATAAGGAGAGTTTGAACAATAGTTGCTATGCTTGGCAAGCGGGTTTTTTTCAATGGGTGATAATGGAATGGTAACCCCACCCGTGCTAACGGTATACACCGGCGGGGCACCAGTGAGGGATGATAGGTGAGGATGAAGTAGGTCAGTTAGCCCATCGTGACGAATTCAATAAGAATTGTTCACGATGGTTTCCAGGGGGAACCACGTGGAGGTCGACCTAATAGGGCAAATTGCTAACAATGGGGCTGTCAAACTCCATTGCTAACAATCCCTTTCCCCCCTGGCAAGCGGGTTGGCAACCGCAGTTTGACTTTTCGTGATGAATCAAGAGGGACGCCGCTGCCCATACCTAAACCATTTTTTTTAATAGATAATAATGGAATGGTAACCCCGCCAGCGGTATACACTGGCGAGGCACCAGTGAGGGACGATAGGTGATGACGAAGGAGGTTCACGATAATTTCCAGGTCGAACCGCGTGGAGGTCGACTTGACAGCGTACATTGTCAGCAACAGGGATTGCCAATTCCCATAATAAACAATCTCTTCTCCCTCACTTGCATCCGTTGATCCCTTGAAGGATAGGGTAGTTTTATCCTGATAGAAAAAAAAAATACTTGGTTTAGAAATTTGAAATAGAAAAAAAATAGTTGACGGTGGAGGGAAAGAGGGGGGCATTCTGTCGGATTAGTTTTTTTTTATACAACTTAAAATGGCAAACAAGCTGACGGCCCACCAGATGGAAAGTGGTAACCGTCGCCTACAGACATGAGCAGTACCATAGACATAACAGAGTATACTGTTTCGCCCATGATACCCCCAATGCGTTGCCATTCCTGAGGACTCAGGTGTTATTCCTCTGTACCCTGTAAATTCACGCCACATCCCACCCTTTAAACCGAAACACAGCCATGCAAACACAACTGCTTCACGGTAGAAACACTTGTTATACTATGGTTATTATTGATGGACAGGTTATTAAGTTTGAAGAATGATCACCTTCGCAAACGCTTCGACGCGCTCAAATACGATGTGAAGAAGATCGAGGAGGTGGTATACGACCTCAGCATCCGAGGGTTGCTGCCCAAGACCGAGCCGGGCACCTTGTAGTCTGGATCTCATCACCTCATCACCGGCTCCTGCATTGAGACTTGAAAATTACGTACAGAGTGTGTCGTGTCAACAGATTTTGATTTTGTAGAAATACCGACTTCAAAAAGTAGGAGGTTCTCGTTTCGGTTGTATTTTTTTTTATGTTTGTTACCTCATAACTCGGTTATTTACAATCTTATTAGGAATTTTTTTTATCTGACAGGATATACATACAGATAATCTAATATATAAAGTTCTCGTGTCGCGGTGTTTGTTACCAAACTCTTCCGAAACGGTTTTACCGATTTTTTGAAATATGCACCCGATATGCACACAAATATCGGGTAGGTCTGAGAATCGGCTAACATCTATTTTTCATACCCCTCAATGATGGGTGACCCACCTCTAAATATTTTATTTTTATTATATTATGACTTAGCATTGAAAAGTACATACAAATTCAAATTTTCACGCTTTTACGATCAACCTCTGTTTTTTAATAGCGATTTTTATATGCCGCAATAGGATTGCAAGATAGCAATCGAATGTAATAATTGTAGTACGATAAATTTTCATATATAGTTCTCGAAATAATGTATATGGTAAAACAACGTTTGCCGAGTCAGCTAGTATACTAATTGTGAAATTAAAATAATTGGTTTTATCCCAGTTAAAGTTAGTTTTTTTTTATTATTATGGCTCATATACCATATGGAATGGTATTTAATTTTAAATTTAGTAAACTATCATGATGAATTCAACAATAATATAATCACGGTAGTTTCCAGGGAGAACCGCGTGGAGGTCGACCTGATAAGGTATATTGCTAGCAATGGAACTGATAATCCGCATTACTAACAATCCTCCCCCCCTGCAATGAGCGGTTATAAATGTCTAGAACTCGATATATAGATATCGAATATCACTCATTTCTAATTACAAAAAGTATCTGTTGACATGCACACGTGTACTTAAAAAAACTATTTTGTCAAAACATCCAATTACATTGGAATTTAATTCCAGTATTGTTGGGGTGTTTTTGTAACCTATTGTATAAGTCTGAAATGATGTAGAGACCTAGAAATAAGTATAATTTATAATAAGTCTTAATTATAAGTTTAATGGTGATTGCTGGTTTTTTATTTGACATTGGAAAGAGGCTCCTTCAGGGTTCTTTCCTTTCGTCAACGCCTGAGTAATACCCTAGTAATGTATTTTTTTTAATGGATGATAATGGAATGGTAACCCCGCCTGCGCTAATGGGATACGCTGGCGGAGCACCAGTGAAGGGTGATAGGTGAGGATGAAGCAGGTCAGTTGACCCATCGTGACTAATTCAACAAGAATTGTTCATGATGGTTTCCAGGGGGAACCACGTGGAGGTCGACCCAATAGGCTCATATTATTGCTAGCAATGAGGTTGTCAAACTCCATTGCTAACAATCCCTTTCCCCCATGTACATGAGCAGTCGTTTCATTGGCGTCAAAACAGCCTGGTATTGTAGGCGTTCATAGGCTACAGTAACCGCTTACCATCAGGTGGGCCGTATGCTTGTTTGCCAACTGTGGTATTAGATAGATAGATAAATAATTTATTTGCATTACTTACAGCACACACAGCAACAGACACAAATGCACAGTGAAAAAAAAAGTGGATATGGCAGTTAATTTACAGGATACAGAAGAATAACACTTTAGTCCTCAGAAATAGCAACGCATGGGGGGTATCATGGGCGAAACAGTATACTCTGTTATGTCCATGCTACTGCTCATGTCTATAGGCGACGGTTACCACTTTCCATCAGGTAGGCCGTCAGCTTGTTTGCCATTCTAAGTTGTATAAAAAATTCAATGTAACAATTTTCATGTCTAGGATAAAGTTGCGGGTATAAAACTAGTAAATTAACAAAATAAAAGCTTTTCATTATAAATCAACGTTTATTACAAACATCACACTTACTTGAACAGGTACTTTCAGTTTTATTACACAGTGAACGCTCTATATAAGCAACATTCTTTATATTTTACTTATTCTACTCAACTTAGTAAAAGAAATAAGTAAAAATATTTTCCACACGGTAAGTATTTTTATACGACAACATAACCTTCAAGAAAAAGAGTATATTCCTTTTTAAAAGGCCGGCAGCACACCTGCAATGCCGTTGGTGTTGTGAGTGATCATGGGCGGCGGTAGTCACTTACCATCAGGTGAACCGCAAGCTCGTTTGCCCCGTGTTGTAAAAAAAATATTTTTTTATCCTGTAAGCAACTTTCTCCAATAAGATTTTTTTTTTATTGAAATTGGTTCAAATGAGTTGCTTATATAGAGCGTTCTATGTATTACTTATTTTTAGTAACAAAAACTTATATTCCTTTTTCAACAAATAACAATATTAGGTCGCATATCCACTAGTAAAGTTTTATTTCAAAACAAATATATGTTTTATATTGATTATCAAAGGAAGATTGATCTTCCTCATCAATATAATCATTTGAAAATTACCCTTGGACAAGGTGCACGAATCTATTGAAGGAATCTTTTAAAAAGAGAGAAAAAGACATCACACGTCTCCGTCTCATTCTATCGTATGGTCTCGCTAGCGGTAACAATAGACATTACGTTCTCTAGACGAAGTACAAACGAATCTTGATAAAATCTTTCTCAATTGAGCGCTGATCGAAGCGATTGGATTAACATGACATAACAAAAATTTACTATGCCTTATCAGGTCGACCTCCAGGCGGTTCCCTCTGGAAACCATCGTGACTAATTTATCGTTGAATTCGTCACGACGGGCTAACTGACCTGCCTCATTCTCACCTATCATCCCTCACTGGTGCACCGCCAGCGTATACCGTTAGCGCAGGTGGGGTTACAATTACATTATCATTCATTAAAAAAAATTTACTTGTGAATATACAAAACAATCAAAACACAGCGTTAGCTTTGTATAAATGAACTGCTGTCCCCAAACAACTTGGGGCGACATCTACATTTTAATAGTAAACAACACTGGACATATGTATGAATAGCGTCATCTAGACTCAAACTAAGCAGATCTTTAAGAAATGAAAAAAAAAAGAACTGCAAAGCTATCTGTTTTATACTAATTTTACAAATAGACAAGATTTGATTGTTTTTTTTTTTTATGTAATAGATTAACTCAAAAACTACTTAGCAGATTTAAAAAATAATTTGACCATTAGAAAGTTATATTAATAGCAAGTAACATGGGAAATTTTATTAATTTAAAAAATATAAAAAAAATTAGAAAATGTCTGTACAAATACAATAATGTATCCCAAGATTCCGTGACAAACCAGGAGTAATGTATTATTCTTTAAGTGGTGCAAAAAAAAAAGTAAATCAATAAATATTTTCTCTCTATTATGGACTTTCAAAAGCTAAATTTAATATAGTTTTGACACAATCCTATAAATGTTAATACTGGTCTATATATATATATATATATATATATATATATATCGAGCCTCAAAAATGGGTAGACTTTTTGTCAAATTAGCTGATTCATTTTTTATCAGTGTGTTTAACTTCTGTTTAGCGGTACCACTGCCCACTCACTACTTCCTATGCCACTGCGTTAGGTTGACTGGAAGAGATCTCTTTTAGAGATGAGTTCGCCTTTGCTAACATTGTTATTAACTTACTGTTGTTACTGTATGTTTTAGTGCAATAAAGAATATATATATATATATATATATATATATATATATATATATAGAAGTTATAAATGAAATATAACTATTTATCGAGTAAAATTATAATATATGAAAAAGTTGACCCAGTTTTCTCGAAGCATTTCTATTGAGACACTCTTATCTACATAATCTAAAATTTGACTATAAAAATAAGACATTGGATTTTTTTCATTGACCTTCAAACAAATAAAAATTATAAAGTGTTACAAACCTATGTTAACTATTAGATTGTTTTGTCTCTCTCTGATTTATACAAAAAAACAGAGACAAAACAGTTCAATAGCCAAAATAGGTTTGAAACGTTTGACGTTTTTATAAATATTTTTAGTTTCAAATACATAACTGAACTGTAGCTTACTCCGTCATGTCTTATAGAAATAAAAAAAAAACAATTTTTTTTATACCACTGAAGTGGCGCAAACAGTCCCTAGTTCTGCATTAAGATTTTTTTGTGATATCAAATTAAAATTTTGGAGATAGAAAAATAACGCTTTAGAATTGACCCCAATGTATGCTAGGAACGTCTATAGGGCCATTTATTAATTATGTATGGACGAGAACTATCAAAATCACTTTTACCTTATATTTTACAAGAATGTGCATTTTCTAATATAGAATGGCGGACATTTTATGGCCAGTCTTACGGTAAGCAATTATGAGATCTATGCTTTAATTTCTAATGTACAATTTACATATTCTTATTAAAAAAAAAAAAAAAAAAAAACTATTAAGTTGTACATATAACAAATTTAGATGACTAGTTAGTAAAACTAGATAAAATCATAGGATAGAGAGCCCGAGAAATCTTTGTATGTGAGTGGAAAGGGCGGTGATGGGGAGGGGGGGGGGGGGATATATGGCCAGTTTGTCGTAATTTAAATAAACAAAGGCCCCTAGCAATGCTTAATATTTAAATTCAGAAAAAAGCTGATTCAGTCTTATCTATTATTCAAAACATTATTACATTAGGATTTTACGCTTATTGCGATATTTTTTTTAATTACAAAATAATTCCCTTACTTATAATAATATCAAATTTAAATAAAAATATTTCCGATTTCGAATTTTGTCTTTTTATTTTGTATACTATTCCCAACTCAAAACATAGTAACATAATTTTTAAATAGGTATATAGTTTTTATAAATAAGAGAGTTGTAATTATAATAACTGATCGCCATACTGCGGAAATGAAATGGAGCTAATTTTATTCACTGGCAACACCGACATTTAAATGCAATCATAAATTGTTATTTACTGTTTTTTTTTTTCCTTTTCGAGTCTTTGTCCTTTTAAATTTTAATAAAAAAATCGTTGAATTCTTAAAATTAATAATACTAAGACATAATCTACAAATTTTATTTCTTAATTTTAAATTATATAGGACGATTTTCAATACGACATATCTAATTTCCGTGTCTTCTTTTTTAGTGTACAGATACGTTGACGTCCTTAGACAGCGTTTGATAAAAATGCTTTCTTTTATATTTTGGAGGTATCGGCTTTTTTACATACATACATACAATATATAAAGCACAATTCAACGGGTTGACAGAAGTTACACAGGGGTCGTATTTGATAATCGTACTAAGTAAGATCTTTTTTCCATAATTACAGTTGGCACCAAATGACAACGCTTCTAAACCTTGATAATGATAAATAAAAAAATAATGGCATTTCAGTTCGTTAAACAAACAGCTGGTTGCCAAAAAAATAATCACCCGCAAAAGTCGGGTTTTTTATTTGTGGTAAGATTATATTAAAATCACATGATTAATTACAACTAGTGTGTACTCGCATATAAGGCACTTACTACTTACCTTGATTGGAAACGTTAAAGCAAACTAAAATATCAAAAATACAACAATGTAACAAGAAATACTTAGTTTTTAGTCCCACACGACACTAAAACGAGCTATATCGATTCCAACGTACAGACAAAAATTGTTAAAACATACATAATCGTAAGATTCTTTATCTATGTCTACAGATATAATTATATTATCTATGTTCGTTTTAATATCTGTAACACACCAATTATCTGTATTCAAGCCTGCATTGTACGATTCTAATCTGTTGAATATTTTGCTCAAATTCTGACATAGAGTATTAATTTTTATTTTCATATTGTAGCATTCATCTTCTTCGGTATTATTGTCTATGATTTTAAAGTCACCGGCCAGATTCAAAGTGTTCTCGAGGAAAAACAAACTTCTTTCATTATGGCAAGCATAAACTAGGACGCCATCTTGAATGCCGTGACATTGTAATAGCGGTAATTCGTCTTCTTTGTCAATCGATTCTGATATTATATTTTGTAATTCAATTAAATATTCTTTTGTCATTATTTTTCTAGGATAATCTTTGGGTACAATTGATAATTTTTGTGAATTTTCAAAGTATAGTATTTTGGTTTTTTTACTATTATCAGGCATAGACTCTGCCGAATCCGATCTGGATCTTTTGCTAGAGGAGGATAGATGATTAACTATAGCATCATTTTCATTCTTAATTTCTGTATTACAATTCGATTCATCAGTGAAAACGTCATCGTTATCATAAAATACATTTTCTAAATCTTTATGACTCTTTTTGGTAAACGACGCTGTTTCACTTTCCATCGAATTTTTATTTGTATCATGAATAATTTTATTCGTAATTACGTACTTTTTATCAATTTTTTCTTTTACAATTTCAAGTGAAGTTTGATCGTCGCTTTTTAACATTTTATCATATTCAAGGGTGGAAACCAAATGTTTGTCTGTAGAATCATCTGTGTTTGATTTTAAATCATCATTGTCTATTACTTCTATATTTATACATTCAGAAGTATTATTTATGGGTACATTCTCAGTTTTTATGTTGTCTTTTTTCAAACAGACTTTCATAAGGATGAATTTACTGTAAAGAATATATAGTGATTTACCATCTTCACCATCCAAGGAGGGACTAAACACTAATATACTATATTACTACATAATCAGTTACTACATGACAGTAAAAATATATAATAAATTACACACAGAATACGGAGATCTGACAGACAAAAAATTTAGTGGAAAACTTTACAATCGGCTTATTGACAAATGACAAAAAATTTAGTGGAAAACTTTACAATCGGCTTAGTGACAACTTTTATTTACTTAAAGACTTTTTTAATGCAAAATTTTAAGAACAAATGAAATATTTGCACGCCACACGGTTGAATCTTAATCTGTCTGCATGGGTACCTCTATCCCATTCGTGTTTCTGCCTTAAAACAGCTATGCCTATATGGATGTGTTTCGGTTTGAAGAGTGCTACATAGTAATGAAATTACATGATAATCATCATCCTCCGACCCTTATGCAAATTATTTGCGGTTGGCGAATTCTAATTTTTATAATACACAAACTTTTGCTTTAAAGACTGACTGCCTGTCTGATGTCAACCCTTCTTGGGAGGGAGGGAATTGTCAGTAATGAGGAGGGCAATCCCCATTGCTCTTAATATACCCAATTAGGTCAACCTTCATACGGTTCAGCAGCAACCTGCCTGCCAGGCGGGGTAAGTACTGATATACCCTCCTCCCCCCCAATAGAAGGCCTGTGTTCAGCAGTGGAATGATAACGTTACTAACTAGAATAATATATATATATATATATATATATATATATATATGACTCAGGTGTTATTCCTCCGTACCCAGTAAATTCACGCCATATCCCATCCTTCAAACCGAAACGCAGCCATGCAAACACAACTGCTTTACGGTTGAAACACGAATGGGACAGAGGTACGCAAGCAATCGACTTATACATATATATATAGCAATAAAACAATTTCACTCACCGACTACTCTCGTGGAACACCAAATTCAAGTTGATGTCTTGATAGAACTCACTAATATCACACATTATGCTCTTCTCAAAGTCTGTCCCGTGGTGCAGACAATTCTGCTTATTGTTCACCATGGCGACCAGGCTCTTCGCGTACTCATAATACTCCTCACATACTTGCTCGACAAAGGACAATTCTCTTGTGTCCTCTTGTTTGTTCTTGAGGAATTCCAGTACGTTTACTAACATGAAAACTCTGTAATTGAAGCTGTTGACGCTTTCGTTCACTTCGTGTGGCGGTTGGAAAGTGGTAGGCCACGTGCCGTCTGGGTTCTTGCTGATGTAAACCTGTTTCGGATTGAGGGTAGTCTCTGGGGTCTCTTTTTCTCTTGGGTTTATTATTGCCCACTTTTTGATTGCGAGTTCCCTGTAAACAGTGAGTAGTCTCTATTAATTATGGGAGGTTTTTTTTTAATGGATGATAATGGAATGGTAACCCCGCCGCGCTAACGGTATACACTGACGAGGCACCAGTGAGGGATGATAGGTGAGAAATAAATAAATAAATAATAATTTATTTGCTCGAAATGTGGTACAAAGGTCTTAAACGGTATCGGAGCTACACATTTCGCCTTATCTAAAGGCATGCACATTTTGTCTTAGCACATTTTAGTTAGTATTTCGTGACTAACACTTTAAAGTAAAAATTTATCAATTACGTATGGCCAATTAATTATTCTAAATACATATTAATTGTTACATTGAATTAGTTAATTATGTCAACGTTTAAAAATAGCAGATATTATGGTTATAAAGCATTAAAGCATTGTACATGTCATATTATTAATATTGTTACATAAAGTGCATTCTTAGTCTAATCTACCATTCAGACTTACAGACAGATTCAGACAGAATGAAAAGGCAGGTCAGTTGATGAATACACCTGGAATTCAGCACTATGGTTTCCAGGTGGAAACCATAGTGCTGAAATACACCCAACACAACCCAAAAGCAATACACCCAACTCAATTGCTAGCAACGGAGATGAGTTCTCTCTAGAGGGAAATTTTGTACAAAAGATGTCTGCTTGGCACCTCTGTCCTATTAATATTTCGGCCGTGAAGAGCAATATATTGTTAGCAATGGGAGTGGTACGCATTACTAACAATCCCACCTCCCCCCCCCCCCATGGAAGCTTACGTGTATGAATGGTGGGTGGCTACTTCATCCTCGTCTGTATCTAATAACGTTCTGACAATTCTGCGATTATTTATTATGGCAACCTTTTGTAGGGGGACAAGGAGATTTACTCCTAGACCTATTTGTTTTTAGACTATGGTGTAAGTGGTTGGGAATGACACCTGTCGATGAGAGGACAATCTATGTAGATTTTTTCTGTTTTTCGATTAATAATAATAATATTTTTTATTTTTCCACCACAACCATATTACAATTCAATTGGTAATAATTGCATGAAGCTCAACCTCAACCTTTTACCAGAGGGAGACTTTGTACAAAAGTCGACTGCTCGGGTACCTCTGTCCCATTCGTGTTTCTACCGTGAAGCAGTTGTGTTTGCATGGCTGTGTTTCGGTTTGAAGGGTGGGATATGGCGTGAATTTACTGGGTACAGAGGAATAACACCTGAGTCCTCAGGAATGGCAACGCATGGGGGTTATCATGGGCGAAACAGTATACTCTGTTATATCCATGGTACTGCTCATGTCTCTAGGCGACGGTTACCACTTTCCATCAGGTGGGCCGTCAGCTTGTTTGCCATTCTAAGTAAAAAAAAACCTAGTTGTGGGAAGCTGGCGACTAAATTGGGCACCGAGTAGCCTGTGTATTATAACAGTATTACAGTGTACTGGTCCTTCGAGCCGGATCAATTTGTTTAGGCCTTTACTAGTAAAGAATGATGATTTAATGATAAAACAGTGGATTGTTAAACTGTTTTTAAAATAATTCTCATTGTGGTCAATTGAATTTGAACAAAACAATATAATATAAAGATACATGTACGAGTACAGTGGCGTTACACGAAGTGGCGAACAGAACCGACCTAAGCCGAGAACGTACGATGGCTCGCAGTGTTGCCGTTCGATGACTTTCAAACAATTAATACATATATACTATTCGTACTTACTTTTTATCGCCG